GCTTATATTTTGGTTTAGTATTATGGTTCTGCTTTCAAACAGTTTAAAAAAAAAGGGGGATATAAATTAATATTAACCTTCAGCAGATTAGTCATGTAGCCACTTCCGAGTTAATTTATAAATATTGGTTGTTTAAGTATTTATTGATACAAATGCCGGAGAAATAATTTCGTGCCATGCAGACTTGTATGTAAAAATAATCATTATAGTTCTTTCTGCAAAATATTTATCTCTTTGTCGTAGGCATTGTGGAGACATTAGGATTTTTTGGAAGCAGGCAAGATGAAAAATTAACCGGGAATCGAACCACTGACCTCTGGAATACCGGCCCAGCGTGCAGAAACACTACACCCCGAAGGCACGCTAGAAAAGTGGGAGAAATACCTGATATGCTCCTCTTTTTAAAGGGCGACTGAGGCTTTCAGGGGATCCAATCGCCAAATCCTCGGTGTGGAGAAACCTCATCCAACACCTTTTAGAAGGCGGGAGAAATATCTTATAAAATATTTATTTTGAAGACACATATCCTACTTTATTTATGAACGTGCAGTATTAATTTTTCATTCTAAATGAACCTTGAAATTTAAATGAAACTGCAATGATTAACGAAAGGAAATTCATAACGTTGAAATTTTCTGAAATGATTTATGATTAGGGCTAAACATAAGACTTCATTTGGAATTTAAGATTTTGCATGTGAAAAGTGTAGAAATTCTTCCTGCGAATAGATTTATGGAAGTGGTAAATCAGTTATTTTGTACGCATGCTAGCCAAAAATGAAAAACCTTCCACATGCCTCTGGGGTTTAGACAGAGTTGATTCCTAACGTAATCATTTCGAAGACTGCATTAAAGTGGAAGACAATTTCCGACATTCCGCCTTAGGTCTTCCGACAAAGCCGCCATATAGTCTCCTTTTCTGTACAATATTATACGCTGCACAGAAAATGGGTTCGAGAAACAAACCAGCTTGCAGTTCGTTGATAGTTGGCTTTAATTGGGATTACGTTTGGAAGACATTTTGTGATGGTTTACTACGGATTTCATTTTTGGAACTGCTTTACTGCTGGAATTAATGTTTTAATAAATTTTGAAAACTGAGAAAGCTTTATCAGTGAGATGAATCTTTTGACACTTTATTACTTTCACAGTCTGTTAATCTTTCATGATAAACTTGAAGAATTTTTTTTCTAAATTCAGATGTAGTAAAAAGGATTCAATATTAATTGGAAGAAAACTAAAAACTAGCCAAAAAGTCTCATCTGTCTTTTGTAAAAGATCTAATTTGCAAATGGCAAATCACCTTCTTAGAAGGTGGCATTTATCAACAGAGAATCAGAATACTCTTGTTATTTGTTACTATTAAATATTTTAATTAACTAAGGTGAAAATAGCAGCAAGTTGGTTTAGCAAATTTCTGTATTCATTCGTAATTTACAATTTACATTTGGAATAAATAGTTTTAAGATTTGGACTCCTCACAATTTTTTAATAAATTTATACAATCCTGGCGTAAAAGTCTTTAAACGAAGCTATTCTATTTGTAATGTTATCAATGCTATTTAAAAAAATTGTTTTGAGAAGCAACTAAACAGGAAAAAGTTGAAACAGCAAACAGTACTTACATATTACCCTGTCGACCGCTGAAGTTAACTATCATCGAGCCACGAAAGTTGACGCGGATCCCGGAAAGTTGCACCGATCGTTTCTACAGAATTATGAAAAAACCTGAAGCCTCTTTATTTAACAAACAATCAGTATTCGGTATAGTTTTGTATTCCTAAGAATAATTGATTTTTACTGTTTCGTTAGATTGTCCGGTTGTTGTAATCTATTACTATTTCGTCGGCCATGTTCAAATAACTATATCGTATACACACTTTTTGTCTCATAAACACAAATTTTTTAATGGTAGGATTTCATAATTTTGGAAATAATTTATAAGGTATTTCTCCCGCCTTCTTGGCTTGCCTTCGTGGTGTGGTGCTCTGCACGCTGGGGGCGTATTCCAGAGGTGCGTGGTTTGATTCCCGGCGAAGGCGTTGCAAATTTTTCACATCTTGCCTGCTTCCAAAAATACCTAATGTCTCTATAGTGGCGCCAAAACTAAAAAGGTGTTGAATGATGATTCTCCACTCCCAGGATTTAGCGATTGGGTCCCTTAAAACCCAAGCCGCCCTTTAAAAGGGGGAGTATATAAGATATTTCTCCTGCCTTCTTGGTATACCTTCGTGGTGTAATGGTCTGCACGCTGGGCGTGTATTCTAGAGGTCCGTGGTTCGATTCCCGGCGAAGGCGTTGCAAATTTTTCACATTTTGTCTGCTTTCAAAAATACCTAATGTTTCTACAAATTTACTGCTTGCTCTTTTGTAGGAGATAAAACCAAATTTTTAAATTTTTTTTAAATGTAAGAAAAACTACAACAAAACAGTTAATTTATATCGTTATAGATAAACACAAAATGTGGCTTTTCGAAACAGTCAGGTTGCCTCACACGAAAGCGCACATGTTACGAGTATGTTGCTACGTCACACTTGTGCATAACTGGTGATAACTCGTGTTACTTGGTGTCATTTTCACACTCAATAGGATAACTAAGAACTAAGCAGACAATAATTTTCTCTTAATGCATACTTAATAGCAACAAGGAGAATTAAATAGTATTTAAAAATATTTAAATTCTAAGAGGATAGAATACAAAGCTAAGAGCTAAATTATTGCTCGTGAATTCTTATGTAAGGATGCACACATAAGAAAAAAATGTTAGATAAAGTAAAGGAGAAATGAAGAGAATTAATTTCACATTATGAAGAAACACAAGTATAACATTTGTTGATAATTAATATAGAAAACTACATGTAAACTACCCGAAGTATAGTAGCATGTTTTTAAGTTTATCAAATTGATAATAAAATGTGAAAAAATGTAATAACTCTTCACGTAAAAATTCATGCATTCAAGAAACAAATTAATGTTGTTTTCCCAAACCAGTTAGGCTTATGTACTCGCGTTATATTGGCCTATTATATATATTTTCGTTTTCATGAAATCATTGCGTAACGGTATCGTATGAAAATAGTCGTTGTCGTTCCCAAATAGGGATTACAAGAATGTTCTTTTTGTGATGAAAGTTTGCCAAAGATTAAAAAAAAATCATATTAATTTGAGAGGTATTAACATTTTTTCCTACAAAACAAGTTTTAATCTAACCTTGTATGTATTTTTAATAACGCGCTGTATATATGATTTCTTGAAGGTTAACCATTACTTTCGTAACATTTTCTTTTTAATGGGTAATTGCAATTTAATAACTGTCATAAACTAAGGTATAACTTACCGAAGATCTTCATTCCAAGCTTTACATTTATCGCTAGATTTTTTTATTACATATTGCAGGCCTTTTAGTGCTTGTTATTTAAACACTTATCAAGGCTGTGTTGTAAGCTCTGAAGAAGTACAAAATTATAAAAAATATTAACCTTAATTCTACCTTAGAATATTCTCATATTTGAAATAGAACTTAATGGTCATTTTAAATACAGGGCTATTACAAGTAGTGAATTACAAAGGAAAGATCTTTCATTGCATCTTACAAGAATATTTAGTAGCAAATGATTTTAAACAGTCGTGTAAAGCAGTGGGAAATGCTTGTGAAGTTTTGGTGGAAAAATTTTTACCTCCAGATTCTCGTCTTGATATTATGATTACTTCTTACAGTCACGTCACACTATTTTGTTTTCCAGCATGTGCAGTTTTGTTTCAATTTTTATGACATGATTTTTCTACAATAATTCAGGTCACCTGCAAATAATCTGTATATACAGCAAAAAAAAATTGTTTTTCTTTTTCTAAAATTATTCCCGCATCTGTTGTTCCGATCACATATTCTAATTGGTTATGTAATATCGCGACATATCATTAAAGTTTCTCACAGATTGTATCTGTCTTATTCATCTACCCTTTTATTTTATAGGTTCATTTTATATCATTTTTTTAAATTCTCATTTACTTTAGTTACGCTTCCCATTGAGTTTGAAATTAGATGTCTGAATTTTCTAAAATTTTGGAATTTATTTCTCATGTGTATGACGTTCCAAAACACCAAGCAAACAAAATCTGTAACTTATTTTCATTTTTACTTAAAAGTAAAGAAAAAAAATTACTGTGATATTTTCTACAGCTACACTCAGAGACAGGTAAGCTGTTTACGGAAAGTAAGAATTCGAGTGTAAAGGAATGAAGATTTGGTGAATCTTTACATTATGGTAACTTAAATATTTTTTGGCAAAACTTTGGCGACCAACCCTGCTACAGCAACCTGCTAGTTTTTTTTTGGACGCCATTTTGTTTTCACGAACTAGAGGCTTTTTTTTTTTTTTTTTTTTTTTTTTTTTTTTTTTTTTTTTTAAACTCAACATTTTTTTCAACAATCTGTTAGCCAAATTACGCTTATGCTAGAACTTTTATGGAACAAAAGTGCTTAATCATGACGAAGATTAGGTGCGAAATTGGGAGAAAGTGTAGAATCGCCCACTGCTTGCCGCGTTTTTAAGAATTGCATATACACTGTATCCATGTACACGTCGACCTATTTTCACTTAAAAAACGTCCCAGAATTGCACAAAAATGGCATTGCGCACACTCTTGACTTTATACATGTACACATCGACCTATTTCACTTAAAAAGTCAAAGAAAATTGACAAAAATCCAATTCTTCTTACTCTTGTAAAAAGCGCCAAACAAATAAGTGGACGATTCTGCGCTTTAGCAGCGAAATTGTTTCTAAGTGCTTATTATCTAAAATCCCCATTGGAATTTTTCGGAAAATGTCACATTACATGTCTCATGATCTCTAATTTCTTTGAGACAAAATAATCTGTGATTCGAACTGTGTACTTCTCAGATTATTGCTAAAGTCCTAGCTAGTAACCTTTATAGCCTTACCAAAATGTCGCCAAACTACCTGTTACCATATTCTAAAGATTAGCCGAAGATTTACCTTAAAACCATCGTAAGTCCATGAGCCGAACTTCATGAGACACGTCTGCTCGTCGAATGGAAAATATTCGACGTCTATCTCGCAGGAGCTTTTATAGATAGCCGGAGGTTTCCATTGGATTGTCCCCCTGCTGTCCAGTTGAGCTTTCGTCTCTAAAGTTACCTCGAAGTTCCCATCCGCACTGTAAAACAAGCACCACTTATAAAGTATAATATTCATAAAACACAAAACGTTTTAAAATACAAAAATTATCGTGAATAAAATGTTGATAATTTACAGTTTATGTGGTAAATATGTTAAGATTTAGTTGGATGTATAATCAGGAAGAATGTAATTTTCAGAGATTTTCTTTTAATTCTTGAAAGGGTCTAATAAATTTTTTAGGGCATTAGTTTCACTTTTGAATCTATTTATTGAACTGTATGTGAAGAAATCTAATCAGAAATGTGCGTACTGAAATCTAATCAGTGCACAGTCAGCAATGCTGTAAGTCGCTCTGGTTACTTGCTAGCATTGCTGACAAGTAGAAATTGTTCCCAGGTTACGTTTACAATACATGCCACTTTGAACACGGGGTGTTTATAAATGAAGCGTGAGGTTTTCAAAATTAATAATAAATTGATGTATTAACTTACCCGTGTAAAACCTACACCGTAAGCATTGGCAATTGCCCAAGTTTTTCACATGCTACTTGCTAGCTGCTTGTCATGCTTGCTGTGAAACTGCATCGTCAATTTCGAAGATGGCACTGCATCAAGACAAATGCTTTCTGTGTGCTCCATTATGAGGATTCAGATCTTTGGTTTCAGTGTAGCGTAAGTTTTGTGCACGTTTTCTGTGCGGTGTCCCACGAGAAAGTGCACGGCTCATTTTTCTTCAAACAAGAAACTGTGATCGGTGACTCATTGCTACACATGTTGGAAGTCTAATTGTTACCCTAGCTAAACACAAATTATGATGATTGCGTTTTGCAACTGGACGGTGCTCTGGCCCGTTTTTTCACGAGAATATACGAGAGGTTTTTAATCGTCTTCTTCACCAATGCAGAACTGGACCTGCTGCAACAGCAGACAACAACCTTCTCCGCTGGCAACCGGATTGAGCACCATGCGAGTTCTTTCTTTGGGGGTTTGCTAAATACCGAGTTTATGTACCGCCAATGCCCATGTCTCTTGAGGAAGTCTGTGATCAGATAAAACAGTGTCAAAACCGTCACGGCGAACATGTTACACCGAGTATAGGAAGAATTTGATTATTGTGTTAGATGCGTAAATGTGTATTGCATTATAAGGTATTTCTTTCTCCCTTTCTGCATGTCTTCGTGGTGTAACGGTAGCACACTCGGCTCGTATTCGAGAGGCCCAGGGTCGAGTCCCGGCGAGGTCACTGCATATGTTTGACGACTTTTGCTTCAAGAAAAATCCTAAGGGCACTACAGTGGCGCCGGAACTAAAAGGTGGCGTATGATCCTTCTTCACCACCAGGATTTAGCGAGTGGGTCCTCTAATCCCCAGTCGTCCTTTAAAACGAGGAGTACATAAGTTATTTTCTCCCTCCTTTCTGTATGCCTTCGTTGTGTAACGGTAGCACGCTCGACGCGTATTCGAGAGGGCGAGGTTCGAGTCCCGGCAAGGACGTTGTACATTTTTCATGTCTCTTGCTTCAAAATAACCTAATGCCTCTACAGTAGGACCAAGGGTGCACATATTGAAGGATTGTGATTAATGCATCAGAAACATGGTCAGTTGCCGCTGCTTATGCTGCAAGGTTTGCCGATATAAAGTAATACATCGATTAATTATTCATTTTTAAAACCGCACCATTCATTTATAAACAGTCTGTATTTTTACATTTTCATGCAGACAACCTGTGCCGTAGAAAATACAGGACATTATGTAACCTGAAACTAAAACTGGCTATCAAATATAAGCACATATTACAATTTGCTTATCTATGGTAAATAACAAGAAATGTTACAGATTATTAAGTAATATCAATATAAAATAATGTTCAAAGAGTATTGAATGATACCATAAGAAAGTGCATAATTAATTAATATGGGAAGCTTAGCACTGAAGCCTCGATAACCGCGACCTGTCTGCTTTTCTAGTAAATAGGCCGAACTGCTTAAGAGCAACATACAGCTAACTCATACAAAGCCTCAGTAACGGTCTATGCAAATGGAAAAGCTTTACGAAAACCCATGTTCTATGCAGATCATTTATGTTTATTTGAATATAACAAAACACACGAGGACTTTCTGATTAAGAAAAGAAATGCTTTCAATGCTAAATGGTACTTACGTATTATCGCAACCAGGTTGGCGCGATTTGTAAGTTTGAGTAAAAAAGTATGAATAGAAAGAAAATGTACATTTATTAATTACAGATAATTTTTAATACAGTTTTTTATATATTATTTTGTTTTAAAATATAAAATAGCAATTAAACCCTTCCGGTTTCGAATTTGAATAAGTTGCAGAATTTATTTTTTCGGCGGAAATCTTTTGGCTATTGCTTTTAGCACTAACTGAAAACCGTCTTCGATATTAACAGCTTGAGCTTGGCGACATATAAATTCAATGAGTCAACAGTTTTGTCAGCAATTCCCATCTCTTCTGCACAAAATTTAATTGAGGTTAACTCTTTACACCAACAATAAATGAAGCGCACCGCTGTCACAAATGAAATTCGGCTACCTTCAAACCAATTCTCACACCCAAATGTTGATTGCACTCTTCGACGTTACATTTCCAGAAGATTTGCTTTCCAAAATACAGTTTCATTTTATGAGAATTTTTACAAGTACGTTCGTTCGGTATAATTCCATATCCCTGCAACAATTCAACAGCATCTTTTTCACTCGCAGGCATTTCAGGGCATTCAATCTAACCAGTAAGAAAAATAATTTCTTTACGAAAAACTACGTACAACACGTAGGGTTGCCGTAAGTAGGGTCGCCAAATTTGGCGATTTATTCGAATTTTGGCCTGGTTGCGTTAATACGTAAGTACCTGATAAATTTTGAGAAACTCGCTCATATTCATGTTGCATACGTCGGGAAACCTCATGCAATTAGCCCGTTATTCGAGATTTGAGTCATTCCGCTTGGTAGACGTACATCAATTTCAAGTTGCAGGAAAGCGTTGTAGGACTCTAAAAATTTGTCAACCAGTCTAACTGAGATTACTTCCATTTAAGGTTAGCAGATCGTACGTCACAGAAAAAAAATAGCCAACACAGAACTTACGTATTAACACAACCATCGTAGCGCAATTTGAGGATTTTTAACAGATGAAAATGTAAAAGTTGCTTATCATGTCAAGTTGGTAGTTTTCGAGAATTTTTTTTAGAAAGATTCCCAAACTGTCGATATTTATAGTAAGTCAGCAGACATTATCAACATATGAAGAGAAAAAACACCAAGATAAAGAAAAAGAATTCAGCGATATAAAATACAAATTTTAATTATTAAATAAGGATTACGTGACACATTAAAAAATAAAACACTTGCATTCTTCACCAAAACTTTTTGAATTCTTCCCAAGTGCACAGCGATCTGTTTTCGCTTTAAAAAACCAGAGAATTACAGAGACTTGGCATCACTGAAACTTCGGTAGGTGGGCTATCTATCAAACGCATCTCCTCTTTGTTCCCTATAGAGATTTTGCGCAAAAATTTTCCATTCCTGACACATTACACAAGCCAACACATTTTAAAATTAAAACAAAAATAGCACGATTTGTTATAAAAACCTCATGCAATTGCGTTTGAACTATAAATACCCTCACCAAAAGACATAAAAAAATGGCGGCGTTGCTTGACTGAAGGATTGTTATTAACATGGTTGTCTCAAGAATGGTTATGCGCATGGTTGCCAGAGTTTGGCACACCCTGAAAATTTGGCGATTTTCTACCAAGGCGATTCCGATAACACGTAAGTACCGAAAACTCAGCATCATTAATAAAGTAAAAAAATAAGAATAACAATTCAGTATAAAGTCATTTAGTACGGAAATCTAGTTATGAAGGAATCCAGTATTGCATTTATTGTAACTTGAATTCTCGGTACATATATATTAACACAATCACCTTAAGAGAAGTCACAAATTTTCGAAATGCCCTAAACTTTGGCAATCATGCTCATAATAGATTTTCAGTTTTAGCGAGATACGTCGCCATATGCGTATATGTATATATATTGTTGTTTTTGTTGTATTTCAACGTTTTGTATAGAAAAATCATGATGTTTGTTTCGAAATCAATTTTAAAATTTAATTAACGTGAGATATTGGAGCAAAATTTCTACAAAAATACATTTTACCGAAAAATCGCTTAAAGGGAACAATAGCTTTGAATCTAGTCTTAAAGTGATTGTCATGAAAGTTCCAGTAGAGGGGTTGCTATTGGGTTTATTGGATGATTTTTGGATAAATACATAACTAAGATATATGCTTAATTAAACCCTCTTAAAAAACGGAAACCTGAAATAAAATCAGATACAGGAAAACAGTAGCTATATTTATTGCTTCCTTAACTAACTAAACAAAGAAACTGTAACTAAAAACATTGTACTAAAAAAGAATATAAGACCAAACAGCAGATATAAAATAAGAAATAGAATTTTGTATAGCCCTTTTCGTATGAAGTGCATTTTTAGCGTATGTGGCGCCATTTTACGTTATCCTACAAGCGCACAACAGATTAGGTATGACATTTAGTGTCGGGATCAACAAAAATGATTATATTGATTTACTGAGAAGTATTCGAAATCCCAAACAGTGGTAACCCTTACAATGAAAAAAGGTAACATTTACGATTAGATGAAAAATGTGGTTGCGGGTGCGATGGTTATAAGACGAGGAACGCAGCTAAACGTCGCTGGGAACGAAGCTAAATAATCTGGCAATGCTTGGAGCCAAGTAAATACGCCTACATAAAACAAAACAAACAAACAAAAAATATAAAAGCTTTCAGATTTTATATTACGCCAAATTTTTCATTTACACGCGCATACGCGTTTTTAGAGCATTTGGGCTAGCGCTCTTTCGGGGTAAAAATGTTTAAAAACAGCATATCTTTAGAATTTCCGAATACTGGAGGTAAAAATGTATTATTCCGTACAGTGAAGCTTCTGCTCGCTTTGAAATCGTCGAGTTTGTTAATCAAAAATTCGTTAAAGTATTACAAATATGAAATAGATAATAAAACAAGTTGGAAATTTAAAATTTGGGCTTCCAAGTACCCATATTCGGATGGAGAACTATGTTTTCCAAAATTGGATGGTTCTACCGTTGTTTTTTCGCAGTGGGAGAAACATACTAACATTCCTGTAGATGTTTCATTATTTAAGTTCTTTAAATATAATAGAGGGCGATAATATTTAGTGGCAACAATTTGAAAAGTGATTCAAGGCTTTTAGTGATTCGACGCTAAATACCGTTTCGAGACTAATAGTGTCTCTGGGCTAATGACTAATAGTGCCTAATAGTGTCTAATAATTCGAGACTAATAGTGTCTCTGGGCTAATGACTAATAGTGCCTAATAGTGTCTAATAATTCGAGACTAATAGTGTCTCTGGGCTAGTGACTAATAGTGCCTAATAGTGTCTAATAATTCGAGACTAATAGTGTCTCTGGGCTAATGACTAATAGTGCCTAATAATGTCTAATAATTCGAGACTAATAGTGTCTCTGGGCTAATGACTAATAGTGCCTAATAGTGTCTAATAATTCGAGACTAATAGTGTGTCTGGGCTAATGACTAATAGTGCCTAATAGCGTCTATTAATTTGAGACTAATAGTGTCTCTGGGCTAATGACTAATAGTGTCTATTAATTCGAGACTAATAGTGTCTCTGGGCAAATGACTAATAGTGCCTAATAGTGTCTAATAATTCGAGACTAATAGTGTCTCTGGGCTAATGACTAATAGTGCCTAATAGTGTCTAATAATGCCTAATAGTGTCTAATAATTCGAGACTAATAGTGTCTCTGGGCTAATGGCTAATAGTGCCTAATAGTGTCTATTAATTCGAGACTAATAGTGTCTCTGGGCCAGTTTGGCTAAAAAAAGAGAAATGGTATGGACGCTAAGGAAAAAGAACCAATTTTTTATAATAATGATAAAAACAAAAACACTCACTTATTATAGAGGACGATGTCCGGCCTCCATATATGGTCAGAGGGCACATGAAGCATGTCCACCCCTCCGTACTCCCTCGGATCCCAAGTCAGTTTATAGTCGTTCCAATACTGAAAATTATTCAAATGTTTCTATCATATACAGAACTTCAAAATGAAAGAAATAAGATGTAATACTTAAAAATTCATATTCATTATTATTTTATTTCAGCTTATTTTCATTACAACTATATACAGTAACTCCGACTTGCGTAATGCGGGACTTACGTAAATTTGCAGTTGCGTTAGCTCACACTCAAACTGAAACCTATCAATTCGAAATAAGAACTCCCTAAACAATTCTTTAACTCGACACATAGTTCGCGCATTCAAACAATAGTCTTCCGGATTTTTAAGTCACATTTTTATCACCGGTAGTGCTCCTTATTATTTACCCCAAGGTCAGTGGCCAAATAAGGTTAGGCTCTTCCCAATGCTGACGTCACTTACTCACAGAAACGAAAGATGACCTAAAGAGAGTAGGAAAGAAGTTATTTTTTAGCAGATTAGATGTCAGTAACATCATATAAGAGCAAATCTTATATTATAGTTAGCCTTGATTTACCCTTAAAATAGATATAAAACTCAAAACCGAATGCGCTGGTAGTGCTCTTTGTTATTTACCCTAAGATCAGTGGCCTTGGGGTTATCACCATTACTGCTTCTTCTTATTTATTCTAAGCTCAGTGGCCAAATAAGTTTAGGCTCTTTCCTATACTGACGTCACTTACTTACAGAAATGTAAAAAGCGAAGACAGAAAGGGAGTGGGGAAGAAGTTGCTTTTTAGCAGACTGGATGTCAGTGACATGATATAAGCGCAAAACATATTCTATAGTTAACTCCGTGTTCTATAGTTCTATAGTTAACTCTGAACTCATATATCTGCCTTTGATTCGAAACTCAAAACCGAATGTGTTGGTAATAAATCTAAAAAACAAATGTCTAAAACTACTTTAGAAGAAGAGTTTAAAATAATTTGTATGTATAAAGACAGAAAAATTACGCTTAAAGTTAAAAAAACAACTATAAAAAGCGTATGTAACTTGAATGGTTTTGCAGCTAACAACAAGGAACGTGCACAAGATCTTTATTTTGTCACACCTGACATGTCTTCAAATTACATAACTGTGAATTATACAAAAAATAAATTTAAATAAAAACATCATAAATGCCATATTACGCGAGGTAGAGAAAAGTTTGCGTTATAACATTTTATAGATGCAGAGAAAAATTTAACAAAGTGTGTGGTCATTCCTGACCATAATGTTAAGTTACGCATTTATTTTCCAAGATGTGTATTATATTAGTTATTATCTATTAGTTCCTACGGCAGCTATGAATAACTCCTTGAAACTCTGCAAGAATGCTAGATGAAGACCGCTGAGATACAAATCAGTCTCCTGCTGCATTACATACTGTTCTCCCAGATTTTAATCTGGAAAATATGCAGGCCATTCTTGTCGCAAGATTGCTTCGCCTTCTAGGTAATCGGACATTAGAGCAGCTCTATGGAGACAAGCATTATCATCCCTTAGGAGGAAATTATTACCTATTGCATCCTTAAATAATTTGACAAGCCGCCCAGACGGTATAGTGGTTAGGGAAGCCTGACTGCGATACCGAAAGGCCTGGGTTCGAATCCCGGAGAAGGCATAGTTGTAGCTGTCCGTCCTTTCATAGGAGGCAATGGTGGCCCACTTATTAGGTGCCTCCATAATAAAGAGACTACGATATCTGGCCTTAGTTATAGATTAATGGACTTTGTCAAACTTGTAACTATTCACAATCTGCCACTGGAAAAAAATAATTTGACATTAAATAAACTCATCTCTATAAATTGCAGCATTATTAGTTGCATTGGTTATGTGTAGGTCAGTGTCGCCATTCAGTATGATGTTCGCACCTACTGCGAATCCACCTCCTTGTACCGATGTCTTTCATGGATGTTTTCAGGTCGTTCTGCAACAAAATCTATGGTGCTCCGACCAGAGCGATTTCTGCACCATTGCAACCGGGCACATTGTTCAGTGGAATGCAAATCGCGGGATTCTTTGCATACAGCTTTATTTTATGCATTTGCGCTTACTCTCTGAACTCATGCATCTGGCTGAACCAGAATATATCAGGATAGTCTCAAATGAACTTAGAATATATCTGAATAGTCGAGTTCCTGTAGCTTCAGAAAACCTCACTGCAGTCTGGGCTAATGTCAGTTGTCTATTTCCTTTTACAATCTTTACCAAATAACGGATCTAAGAGTCTGTTGTGACATGGTTTCGACCTATCTGCATATATTTCCAGTTCTTTAAACCGTTTTAAAATACTTGACATGATACCTTTGGGTACGTTTTGGTCTGTATGGACCTTGCACTGCCAATCTTGCTTCCATCATCCCAACTGCGTACTAATTCTCACAATCCGTCAGATGTCTTTTCATCGATGTATTTCGCATTCCACACGCTAAATTCTATAAAACTACTGGTACAATCTTTGAAATAAAAGTCCTTTCACTCCTATCCTCATGTACTGAAAGAACAGATGCAAAATTTTGTATTTCTGTTCACAGAAAATGAATCCTATTGGACTACATGATAACATTACAGCTTGTGCTACTAATCAGTAATTTTGCAATGGACTTTACTGAATAAAATTAACATTACGCACCTTGCATAGTTGTTCCTGTAATATTTCCACGAATTTATATCCATATTAGGTGAGGATATAAAACCAAAGAGCCTAATTATCTGTCACAAGACACTTTGCTTTCATTTGAAAAGTGTTTCAATTTGTTTGCATATTCTTTTGCATAATTTTCGTGGTTTTATATTTTATATACGAATAAATACTTCTGCATGATGTTTCATTTACAAAATAACACTATGTGAATAGTACATATATACATATGTAAAAAATATGCATACATACTAAAAATGATATAAGATATTGCAATTTAGCAGTTTACAGATTCGATTTACGTAAAGTTGTTGAAGTTATGTAAATGTTTATTACGTACGTTTGCTCATGCAATTCGAGAAGATTACTACAATAAAAGTTCGTGAACGTTTAAAATTATTAAAAACGCCACTTCAGATTGGAGTCAATTTTGAATAAAACTTAGCCAATCTCGAGGATGATCTGCCATAGGCCGCTCTCCATCCGCTTTTTGCCCTTAGTTTTAAAATTTACATGAAGTGTTTCAGTTTCAATAAAATTCGTATGCATTTCAGTATTTCCCTCAATACATTTTCTTATTTTTGCTTAATAAAAAGTTGAGTTTTTAATAAAAATATTGAGGACAAAGCAAGCAAAAAGGGACTTAGTATGCTAGTCCAGTCTCAATCAAAATATGTTTGTCGATGTTTCAGTTTGGGCAAGATATTTAGTGTACATCAACATGAAATTTCATGTGAGTCACGTGAGCTTGTCTCCAAACAGAACTGGAATTTTAAAAGATTTCCCAAACAGCAGTGACTCCAAAATTGAGAATATGACCAAATTTTCTTTTGGTAAATGTAAATTTTAAAGCAAATAAATTATTTGCTTATTAGTAACGTATTTTTATTTCATACACTTAAGGAGTAGCTTCCTTTCTTACAATAATGCAGGAAAAGAAAAAATCATTGGAAACAAAAAATCATTGGAAACAAAACAATATGTTGCACATAAAATAGACATTAAGAGATTTTTGTTTAAAAAATTGAGAAATATGCTACAAGATTTCTTTTGTTTTGAATAAATATGAAATTGTCAATCATTGCTTCTAAATATCTTACAGAACACGTGTAAATGATGCTTGCTTGTTATTTTGTGAACCTACACAGCACCTACGTTTTGAGCATGGATCATAGAATCTCAAAAATACTGATGTCAAGGAACTGTGGAGTACGCAGTTGTTGCCCACAGTGATAAACACACATTTTCACATTTTGTGCCGTATGTTTGGGATTATTCTCCTGCTGAAATATAAAATCTTTACTCAAGCCTAACTTAATAGTACTTTTCGTCTAGTTTATAGTATCAAAATCAATGAAAACATGCTTCCCAGCTTCGTTTGGGGCCATATGATCCAAACCTAAGAGATTTATTCGCATGTCTTTAACATTTGATATAAGGTTTTAGGCTTTAATTTTGAAAACTTATGAACGGTTTCTTTCTTGCTATTGTAATGTTATAACCACCTTATCTGATGACATTTCGGATGGTTTGGGCACAAATATGCCGAATATTGGGTGCAGAGTTGGCTGTTCGCTTTGGTTTAGAGCTACCTGTCTAAGATGAGAGATGCCTTCGTGGAGGATTTTCTAAGGGAAGCTGCTCGTATGGACGTTAAACATGGAGAAAACAGCTAAAACTCCTACGCAGCCAGCCCGTTTACGTGGAATCGAAGCCAAGTTTGAACTAACAGGATTCAGCGAGTTTACCGCTCCGGCATTGCTTAGCTAATGGCTGCAGAGACTTTTATAGCAAGTGTGGGGGTACTTAACTTTGAGATTAAATTAGATTTCTTGCCACGTTTTTCTTTTTTGTAACTGCGCTCAGAATTCTTCTTCTCTTTTACTTTCATTTTCAACCCATCCTTCTCTTTTATATTATACAATTATTTTCTCCGCACACGTGTGACTTTGTCCTCAGCGATTTCAGGATCAGATTTACTACTCTTCGAGAATCTTAAACTTTCTTACTTCCCTAGTGGTTTCTCTTCAAGGTTTCATATTGTCTTACAAAATCATAGATTAAAATTTAATAAACAGGCTGTGTTGAGGAATAACCAGTAATTGTTCACAATAACGATTCGAAGTTATCGTTAAAATTTTAGCTTTAAAAAATAGTGGTACTTACAGAAATTTTTTAAAAGATGTATTTTCATTTTTGTTTCATAAAATCTGAATAATAATGTCTTTGAATTTCATAAAAAAAAAGCATGTTTTAATGTAATACTTTTACTCTTCTCTATGTGGAGAATCAAATGGCCAGCAGGTTTATGCATAATTATAAAATTTCACAAATCTTGTGTCTTGCTTGAAATTTATAAAAGCAAGCATAAAATTTTGCAAAAATTTAAGCAAAATGTTTTTGGAGTCACCGTACATCAAATTGACTTGCTGCAAGAAATTAATCAGAATATGGTATCTTTACATGCGTTTTGTCATAGCACAATAATTAAGTTTTCCTAATCTTTTATTTAAAAGGAAACAAGAAAAATGAATAGTAAGTTAAATAATTAAAAAAAAAAAAAAACTAGAGGCAAGACAGCTGACATCCTGCAGTACATTTTATATCCTGAGAATTCAGTTTATTGCATTGCTCTACTTTGATTAGAAAGGATACCTAATCTGTGAGCTGAAATATTTGCATTTCTAGTCAAAATAACTCTCGTCCTACATTGCCGCACAGAGCAATTGCTAATTAAGGCATAGATTTCGTGACATAAATCATCAAAGCTTTATAATAATAATAACAAGAATAATAAAAAGAAAGAAAATCTGAAAGTTTTCAGATTTTATATTAAGCCTCAACGGTCGTCTTTTGCATTTACAGACACATACACTTTTCGAGAACATTTGGGATAACATTGGGCTGAAACACTGGGGCATTTGGGTTGAAAATATTTTAAAACAGCATATTTTTAGAAGCTCCGATTGACAGTTTCGTGGGTAGAGATAAAAATGCTTTATTCCGTACAGTGTGGGATTGCTGCTTTGAAATCGTATTGAGTTTTTAATAAAAAATTCTCTAAAGTTTTACAAAATATGAAGTAGACAATAAAGCAAATTCCAAATTTGGGCTTCTAGGTGCTCGTATTCGGGTGGATGGCTACGTTATTCGAAATTTGATAGCTGTAGGTACCTTCGTTTTTTAACAATGCAAGAAACATACACACGTTCATGCAGATTCTTTATTATTTAATTTCTTTAAATATAATACAGAACGATAATATTTGGTGGCAACAATTTGAAATGTGATTCAGACTTTTATTATGATTCAAAGCAAACTCCCGTTCTGAGCCTAATAGCCCTTCTTGGTTAACGCCATTTGGGCTACTAATAATAAAATAATGCTATTCTTATGCTCCAGTTCTTTTGTTTAAGATAGAGAAGCGCACTGAAATAATTGATTACGATCTAGGATTGTGGAATTTCAATTCAAAGTTTTTCTGTACTTCTACGCCGCGCAGTGGCGCGTAACTCAGGGAAGGAAGGCTAACCTCCCTCCCCGAATAGAATTGTGGATTAGAGAGTAAACTGTAATAGAGATCTGGATGAACTTGAACCTCAGCTCATTCAGATAACTGAAAAATACCGACAACTGTTTTCTTTCTTCGGTTTTTATTTATTGATTGATTAACAAAGTATACGAAAGTCATATTCATATTTTCTTACAAAATCATACATTAAAATTTAATAAACAGGCTGTGTCGAGGAATAACCAGTAATTGTTCACAGTAACGATTCGAAGTTATTGTTAAAATTTTAGCTTTAAAAATAGTGGTAATTACAAGAGAGGAAGAGAGTAATGACTAAGATAGGAATGTTTTCAGGGAGGATTATTTTGAGGTAAGCTAACACGCTTTTAAGTTGCAGAAAGGGAACATCATGAAATTCCCATTAATTTTCATTCTGTTTTAAAGACCCGGTAAAATTTTACAATTGGCTGTCGCTTGTTTTTTGGCGATTCTTTTTGATGCCAAGATTGGCGCCAGGAAGGCACAATTTCAAGCTGGCAGCTACACAAAACCAAAATAAGAAGTCAAAGAATTGCACAAATTCGGTGTCCATGTACACATCGATCTATTTTCACTTAAAAAAAAATCAGAGAATTTCACAAATTAGGCATTGCGCACTGCCTTAACTTTGTCCATGTTTACATCGATCTATTTTCACTTAAAAAATCAGGAAGCTAGAACAAAGTTAAAACTATCATGGTAATCAGAAATGAGGTTTCATCGCCAAAATTAAACAAAATTCGTTGCTAATTGCAGAAGCATCCATTTCTACACTAAAGCCTAAAGACCATTTGTTTGTCCAAAATGGTAATGAGTTTACCTACGTAAAACAACCTTTTATGATTGAACCTTAATTCGCAACGCATTATTACCAAAAATCTGTTGAAGCGTTTAACCCTTTCCGGCACGCTACCTTTTAAAGTCGGAGTTTTGATAAAAAAGGTAGGCAGTTTAATTAGGCCTAGAGGAGTACACAAGTAAAATTTTGTGAAGATAGCACTTATCGTTTTAATTCTGTGGGTGTGCCCAAAGTGGCACACTGATTGAATAGAGCTTCGAAAAGAGTGCTGAAGCGAGCATTGTTGCCAATGAACTGACCGAAGAGATGCGAAGAAACAAAGAATACAGACTCTCAGTTGTCCTAGCCCGGTCTGGGCACACCTAAGGACCTAGGGTTCGCCGTTTGGTTTTAGGCAAGATTTCAAGGTAAAAATTTAAAGCTAATATAGAATAAGGAGATTAGCATACAGCCAAAAAATAACATAGAAATTTCTTTTCAAACAATTCCTTTAATACCTAAAAAAATCTGAAGATTTCTTTGAAAAATGAGGGTCTTAAAAAACTAAACATGGCTAAAATATATGGACTGGTTTGTGTTGAGCTGCCATCTACTATAAATAAAAAAAGGTTCAGAGTAACCTATAGTAATCTATAAATCCTTTTTCATTCAATTTTTCTGTGCCTACAGAAGGAAGATTTTAGGTGTGTTCAGACCGGACACACTGTGACGCAAAGGGTTAAAGAGACCTTCCTAAATGCTCGTGAACCTTATACAACGACTTTCCTGATCTAGGTAACCTGATTTTTAGAAAATGGAAAAGTTCATTATAAGAAATGAAGTGGCCGCCCGTTTCTCCTGACTTCGAATAAAATTGGGTGAGGTTAGGAATCAAATGTTATATTCGCCAACAAAGAATGTAAGAAGGATTACATCTCAATTAAATTCATGCATTGTGAAAAAATAAATCATGAAAATTCATTCTGCTTGAGGAAAGCATATCTTCATCTCGCAGCAAACGAACTGCTTTTATAACTAACAACATAAACTACAAAAGTGTGTGGATGCCACCCGTCGAAACAATTTGCCATTAATATCCACTTTGTAATTTTCACAATTTTCACAATTTTGACATGCGCTATTTTCCGATTAGTCTGTATAAATGATTCACGAAATCGAATATTATATATTATTTAATTTTTTATTCTTAATGATGCATTTTCATTATTTGTGGGAAAAGTGAATGGTCGAAATAAAAGAATCTCAACACAAAATTATGAAATTGTAATTTCAAAATGATAGAATTTTAAATTTATTTTGCCTGTTTTATTGCAGGTAACCTAGACGCGCTAAACCTTTTAAATGATAATTTTCAAAATATCTGAAACTAATGCATTAAAACTTTATAAAATTATATTTTTTCATGATGCCGTGATAGTTCTCTTTCATTTGAGGCTTGAAATAGACTTAGATTTTCCAATGATTTTGGAGAAATAAATCCTTGAAGCCAGAAAAATTCCTTCAAATAATTGCTCAGTTTTCTGTCAGCTAGTTTAGACGTCAGCTAGTTTACAGTGCACAAATGGGAACAATTTTAAACATATTAACTATATGATGATTTTTCTGAAAATATATCATACTATTAGTTATACCTATTTTCAAACATATAATACCAACAGAAAAATAGTGATTCCTCAATCCGTCTTACCCGAGTGATTTCCAATATCTGCTGGGGTGTGTTTGTGTGTTTCATATTTTTAAAAATATACAGAGTTTGTTCATTGGCACAAGGTGACTCTTACTGCAGTTCTGGAAATTTTTTATTAATTTTGCACGATACGTACTTATAAGATCTTTACTAGAACAATATATCGATTTCATTGTATTCAAAGTTAGAAAGTAATTTACAATTACAAAATAACAGATGAAAAATCGACTTACCCTGAGTTCTTAGTTACTGGGTTATTCATTACTAATTTGGTGTTTATATAAAGGAACCATGAATATAACAACGCAAGGCTTAAATTTAATTATTTTCATTACATATTATTAATTTCTTTTATATAAATAAATGTATTGGCTTTTCATATAAAGCAAATCTACATGAGCAATGATCAGGTTATCGAATAGCATTTCTTCAAAAATTATCAGATAATTATTATCGGTACTATTCTAACAACCAAAAAGCATTCTTAAAGAAATAGTACATACCTGTTCCACCCAAAGATTTGTTGTCATGATCTGATTTTTGAGGTTCTGAAAGAATGAAATAAATATGAATTTAATACACATGGTTTTAATAATTTAAAAATAAAATAAAATCACTATTGTAAACTTTGCAAATGTGGTAGAAAGACTTATGACTTAAGCTACTTATGACTTAAGTTAGTTATAATTTGAATTCATCACTTTTGCGCTACGCCATAAATACTGGCTGGTTTGCAGGTACAGGAAGTGCCTTCTGTTAAACTAACTGAGGTCTTAATAAAAGAGTCTTTTACATCTTTTTTACTCTAAGTCGCTTCGATCCAGCTAGGGTCTCGTCTTAGTGTATGATTCCCAAGATGGTGGGCCACTATAATTTTATATTTTAAAAATATGTAATTAAAAAATACGTAATATTTTACGTATTTTAAGTACTACAGGAGATTAGTAGAGGTCGGGAATGTGTTTTATCTGGTCCCTGTAAAAATCAGGCTTACTCATGACTTCGAACAAAGAGTCAATAAAATTCTGAAACTTTCAAATTTTACATTACGACCAAAGGGCGTTTATTTAAAAAATAAACATTTAATAAATAAACAAATAAGTGAATAAAATCAATGCGCGATGTTATTAAATTAAATAAAAACAAGTTCTGAACGAAATAAATTAAATATTTACAAAAAATTATAACATCATTTAGCCTTCTCTCGGAGTAGATACGCACATTGCTATGTAAACTATGCTCAAGGGGGTGGGGAAATCTGAAAGCTATCAGATTTTACATTAAACTCAAAAAGGACTTATTTTAACCTTTGGCGTGTTACCTTTACTTATTAAATATAATGTTCTTCGCACTTGAACCATAAAATTCAATTCAACAGCTACATCAGAAAATAATTTAAAAAGAGCTTATATTTAAAATTTCCGATACGCAATCTCGCGCGCTGGAGGTAAAAATGTGCTCCCTCGTACAATATTGCCATCACTCGTCTTCAAATCACTGAGTTTGTTAATAATTTTATTCCTTGATAATGCACATCATCACTCTGAGTGCGCTGTGCACCTCGCAGTTTTGTACAGCTTACATTTCTTAAACAATGGACGAAAATTGGAAAAGTAAACTCTGCGTGGCTACAAGCAAAGCGATGCAGCGAAATAAAGCAGGAGAGAGAGGGATCCGATTCGATCCGAACAATTATTGCTGGGGTAGCGCGCTGTTTCCAGCTCTTGAAGAGTTGCCAAGAGGCACATGGCTGTAGTAAGTCTGACGTAGTAAAGTTGTGGGATTGAGGTGATGGCAGAAGGGAGGGGCGAACAAGATGCCGCAAGCCTAGGATTAGGCCATACAAGAAGACGCGCCACAGTCGGAGCAATGAAAAAAGTAATATGAATGCTATGTACAATATATACAACTATATACAGGAAAATTCTACTTTATGTAGGAAAATTTAGATCTCTAGCTAAGTGGGCTGCAAGCGGTCGTAGCTCTTTATCTTCTGGTAGTGAAATGTAATCAAATACTTTTAGTTTCATCATATGAGGGCATGTAACTGCTTTCTGGAAAAAGCAGGAATTTAAACGATGAAAATGTTCTATGACTGTTTCAATTTTCAAATCTTTGTGCAATGTCTTATTTGATACAAAATAATGCGCATTCGTGATGGTGCGCAGCAGCTTGTTCTGAGTAATTTGTAATTTAGATATATCCCTGTCTCTAACTGATGCCCACGCGGGGGATGCGTACGTGAAGATTGGCCGTATTACAGAGATGTATAAGTGCCGCTTGCTTCTTAAGTCCAGTTTAGAGTGCTCGTTAAGAATTGGGTTAAGACTCTGAATAACTCCTAGTGTTTTTCCCCTTACGTGAGTCAGATGATCCTTCCAAGAGAATTTATCATTGATAACGACGCCAAGGTTATTCGCCTTGCGTACTCTGGGAACTTTTGTGTCGAAGAGCTTCAGCTTTTCAGTGATTTCCGTAGCAGAGTTTCTCTTTCTTATAATAAGTAGTTTGGATTTATCTGCTTTAATTGAGATGCACCATTTAGTGTACCAGAATTCTACTTGTGGCATGACTTGTTGAAGCTTCCTGACAGCTAGATTCGAACACATAGATTTGACAGCAAGCGCCGTATCATCGGCATAGCAGCCTATGAAGTAATTGTAGTTAAGGCCTGTTTTAGTCTGTCACAAAGAAAAGATATAAAATCAGACCAAAAATTGAACCTCGTGGGACGCCGGCGTGAATTCTTTTGACTTCAGAAATCTCATTTCCAATAGAAACGTGAAAACTTCCGCCTTTCAGGAATGAGTAGATGAGACGCGTTAAAGTTTTAGTGAATCCGAGGGAGCGAAGCTTGAATATTAGACCCTCATGCCAGAAGCGGTCAAACGCTTTGGCCACGTCTAGCATGAGCAAAGCCACATTTTGTCTGTTATGTAGTGCACTGCCGATGTACTCTGAAACTCTGACCAGTTGTTTTGTGGTGGAAAGCGTTTTTCGGAATCCAAACTGTTTTTCTGGGAGTTTCTCTAAATATGGTTGCATTCTGTGATATATGATGCGTTCAAATATTTTCCCTAAAACGGGAAGCAGACTAATTGGTCTGAAACCTTCTGGGCTGGAGAGAGAGAGGGAGTTGAAACGCAATTACTTTTTATACTATTTCGGATAACATGACACCTTAATGTCCAGATGTTGGGTTCAGATTTCATCGATAAGTGCGCAACACGGATTAGATGACGAATGTTTTTTCAGAAGGGAGAATTTATTGCTTTGTTATTTTTAGAATAAAGACGGGAGCTAAAGGGCTATTATTAATTTATTATTTGAAAGATAGATATTTTGTATTTTACATATATTATATGTGTAATATATTCAGGAGCAGGAACTTTGATGGCGTAGAAGTATTGATCCATAATGACTAGGAAATTGGAGGTGAAGGCAGATTAAATCTTCAGTTTTATTTTCAGCAACATGGTGCGGCTACACACAAGTCAACCTGTTTAAATGTGCCTGCTCCAAAAGGCTTACATTTTGATAGATTTGCAGCAAAAAAGAAGAAGCAGACAGACTGCATTACAGCTAAGACAAAGCGTGGAAAGAATGTGCGTAATGTTCTGGATGAAATCTTAAGTCCAACTGAGTTAGTTTTGGTTCTCAAAGCATTTGATTGGAGTTAATTTCTGTAAAATATTACTGGCTTGAGTTTAGTCAATGACATCATCAAGTTACGTAAGAGTCATATGACATAGAGTTTTCTCGAAATGATGCAGTGCAAATAGATGTTGCTATTTTTAGAATAGAGAAGGGAAATTAATATACACTTTTAATTTAATCTTTTACATATACATGTGTTTGCAACAAAAAAGAGAAGTGCACAACTATATGTTATAGCAGTCCCATATAAAAAATTTCAACGTTCTAAGGATACTCGGTTTTAAGTTACGCGAGATGCATCCGCACTTCCACACGTCAAGAAAAAATCTCTTCTGAAACCATTTCAAATCCATTTTACAATTGTTTGAGGAAAAAAAAAGTCTTTCTTCATGCAAAAGCATCTATCCAATGTGTTCAAGAGCGGTTAAAATATATATTTTCATTGAAATATGATACCCAAAATATTTCGCTGCTACAATACTTGCTTTACTACGTTATAAAGAAGTAAAAATTAAGACAACAAAATTAGAATAGATAGTAAGAGCAAAATACGTTAAACAAGAAATTTTCTTAATTTAGAAAAGTTCAGAGATTAGAATTTGAATTCATGATGGAAAATAATAAGTTTTTTTGCTTCAAAGTGTTTTTTCAAAGAATGTTTTAGTGTATTAACAATCAAATGATTTTATTCTCCCCACGCAGTAAAATAAGGTTATTGGGGCTTACGTTCTGAAGCCAAAAAGAAAACCACATAATAATGAAACTGTAGGAAATAATTCAAATGAAAAATTTCCCGATCAGTTTATTCATAGCCGTCATCTGTTCAATGTTCTAAGCAGTTTTTGAAGTTAAACAGGTAAACTGATGATTTATTTTGCTAAAATATTATTTTCTAATATATTACGTAGTAAATACACATTTCTTACATCATTCTTACTACTTTCAAATGAAGTTTGATTCGAATTATCTTACTCTAAATCTTGTATTTGATTTTGATTTGGAATCTAATTTTTTTTTCTCTTTAAAATAGTAAAATTAACTTTTTTTTAAGTTCACACAAATATAAAAAGTACAACATAGAGATTACAGTGCAAGATGTGACGCATTTGGTTTCTTTATGCTATTTCTGAATGAAGCAGCAGCCATTTGGATTGCCATAGAAAAGCTAGATTTTTTTGAGTTTTTCGTTCACTAGACCGTATAGCTCGTTTTCAACTCCATTGGGCACAGAGACAAATTTCTTTCATTTTCTTCTCCATTAATCTTGGAAAATTTTCGAACGTCAAACATTATAGATTTCCTGACTTTGATTTCTTAAACGATTTCCTATTTTTTTTTTTTTTTTTTTTTGAAATAATGTTTTTACTAAAGGTGTTAAAACTCGTATAATTTTTTTCACAAACTTTGTTAACGCTTCTTTGATGTGCAGCCTTCCAAAAATTAAAAAAAAAAATAGATATTCTTTTTGTATGTTGTATGTTCTGTGTTATAACAAATCGGGGTTTGAAATAAACTTCACGATATGACTCACTATAGCTCCCATTGACAGTTTGTGGAGACATTAGGTTTATTTGGAAAAAGGCAAAAAGAAAAATTAGCAAACGCCTTCGCCGGGAATCGAACCACGGATCTCTGAAATACCGGCTCAGTGTGCTACCCACTACACCACAAAAGCTCGCCAAGAAGGTGGGAGAAATATCTTATATACTTCCTCCTTTTAAAGGGCGACTGAGATTTTTAGGGGACCAATCGCAAATCTGGGGGGAGAATCTCATCGCCACTCTTTTAGTTCGGGCGCCACTGTAGAGACATTAGGTTAATTTGGAAGCAGGCGAGATGAAAAATTAGCAATCGCCTTCGAGAATCAAGCCATGGATCTCTGAAATACCAG